CCAATCGCCGGCGGCTGCCGGCAGCCGCCCGCTGACCCCCGACCCGCTCGGCCCGGCAGGGCGAAGGCCGGTTCTCCTCCCGCACCTGAGGGGGGTGCTGGTGGCCTGGACCCCGGCCGGGCACCAAGTGTCACCCTGCCTGGGGTGGCAGCCAGGTCCCGCCCAGCCTGTGCCGCCACCTGCCCTGAGGGCGCCCCCGCCCCGGCGCCAGGCCCCTCTGGTCCCCGGTGTGGCCCTCTGCCCCGCGGGCATCAGGCCCTGCCCCTCAGGGTGGCCACGGGCCAGCCCTCCCTAGCTGCCGGGCTTCAGTACCTGCTCCAGCCTCCTCCCTCCCCCGCAGGCCTGGCCCGAGGGGTCCCCAGCCCCCACCAGCCTGGCGCCCCTCTCTGCCTGGCACCCCAGCCTCAGCCCATCCTGGGCCAGCTGCACACGCGGCTCCCCCAACTGCCCTAGCATCCCCCCATTCAGCTTGACTGACCGCCGGCCCGGGGTGCCCAGATGCCGTCCCATCTGCCCGGCCCGCGGCCTCTGCGGGGGCTCAGGGACGGGCCAGCAGCCCGTGCCCACCAGCAGTGTCCAGCTCTGCCCGTTCCCGACCAGATGAAAGGGCTGGGCAGGGGCCAGCGGGCCTGGGGGCCCAGCCACGGCTCAGATGCCGCCGCCCACCCACCCACCGCGAGCCGCCCGCGGCCTGGCAGGCTGGCCTCTGCAGCTGGCCGGCCAGGCCCACAGGCGGAGGGGGCGGCTGGCGCCGGGCCAGCGGCCCCCCAGGCCCGGGACCCCAGTCTGTCACCTGCCGTCAGGTCCAGCGGGCCCAGGCGCCGGGGGAGGTGCAGGCCCAGGGGGGCAGGTGTGTGGCCCGAGGGGAGGGGGCCACCGGCGATGCCCAGAGAGCGGGCGGGGGGTACCCCGGCGCACCCCGGCCCAGCTCACCCCTCCTCGGGAGGAACTGCGGGGCGGGGCCCCCTGGGGGCAGTGCGCTGGGCCTCTCTGCAGGGTCCCGGGTCTCCTGGGGCTGTTCCCCAAGCCAGGGCGGGGGGGGACCCTGGAGCGCCCGGCCAGTCGGGGAGCATCTCCCAGCCGGCCGACTTCCTGCGGCCTCCAGAGCACCCCACCCTGCGTGGGGGACACCCTGGGGTGGGGCCGGAGTCCCGGCCGCGCCTCCGGCGGCCCACACCCGCGCTGCCCCTCACGCGGGACGGCCGTGGCCTCCACCTCGGCCAGCCTCCCCGCAGGAGACCCCAGAGCCGCCGCGTGGGGCCCACCCCCCCGGAAGTGCCCCGTCCAAGGCAGAAGCCGCTCAAGGGCACCAGAAGGGGAACTGCAGGTTTCAGGCGCTGCGGGCGCCAGGCTGGAAGGGCAAAGCCAGGTCGCCCCCACCCCCACCGCGCTGCCCAGCCCAGAGCCGTCGGCCGCAGGGCCCGGGCCGGGCCAGAGGGCGAGCGGGCACTAGGACCGGCGCAGAGTCCGGCGCGCAGAAGCTGCCCACCGGCCAGTCGCTGGTGGGCCACTCTGGGGCAGCGTGCAGGCCGGGGCTGGAGCGGGGCGGCAGGATCCAGGGCCCTTGAAGGCTGAGGGGAGGGGGGTGTGCGGACGGCTCGGCTGCTGGCCCTGCCCCTCCGTGAAGACCAGCGGGTGCTCCCTGGCGGCAGCCCCTGCGCTCCGAAGGCAGAGCGGGGCAGAGAGGGGTCTGGCAGCGC